TAAGTTTTAATTAATTAAGATACAAACACCTTGTAATGTTGAATAGACTGTTTATTTATTTTTTATTAGGCTCTAGAACTTTAAAGGACTATATTGAGGTTGTTCCAATGGGACAAAAATAGGGAATGCGATGTACAGCGTGATGCAAAAAAACCTTTCAGTTTCAAAAGGCAGTTATAAACAAACAAAACAAGATACAGAAAAAAGTCTTTGACTTGTGAACAACAAATACGATGCCATTTTACATTAATTGGTTTTAAAAATAATGTCCGCTAAATGGCATCCTCCAATGTTGACACATTGACGAAGTCTTTCCCGAAAGTTCTTCAGAACATTCTCCCTGGGGCTGTTTTGATTTCGCCCGATGAGGCCCACTTCCACTTATCAGACACTGTGAATAAACAAAATTTTCTCTACTGGGCAGCAGAAAACTCTCAAGTGTACAAACAACGTCCTACAACTCTGCATGCCCTAATGGGGGCAATCACCCAGACAGTGTCTGCCATTCCACCGGAAATTATTCGTCAGTGTGTCACCATTGGAGGACGCCATTTGGGTGACATAGTTTTTAAAACCAATTAATGTAAAATGACATCGTATTGGTAGTTCACAAATAAAAGACTTTTTTCTGTATCTTGTTTTGCTTGTTTGTACCTTTTAAAAAGGGGAATGTTTTTTTGCCTCACCCTGTATATGTACTGAAAACGAAATGAAAATTGAGCGATAAGAATTGCATGTATATTCAGAATAACAGCTACTGGAGACGAAAAAGAATGAACAATACTTTAAGCCAACTCTGGCCTTGATGTAAGTTTTTACATGGTTGGGCATTAACACTTAGAGTTAGTGGGTGTCCTTCTGCAGGATTGCTTGACATACACATTTTAGTACGAGTTATTTGGGTAGACAGTGCAAAACAGTGATGGTCGAAAACACCTGCTCATGAAATTCTAGATGTGCTATATTGGGGAATGATCTGATGATCGTGTAGGCTGAAGAATTGTTAGCAAATACTCTCAAGCAGCAGAAAGCTGCTCTGTATATTGAAATACATATTTCAGAATGACATTAAGTTTCAATAGTCCATGAAATGAAGGACCACAGAACGAGAGGCGTAAAATCTCCCAGATCTACCTCCGAAATGTAATCGCGAATAACAACCAAAGGGTCCGACCAGTGCTTCTCAAAGTTTCAATAATCACGACCCAATATCCAATCATAACCCACCCCCTCATACAATAACAATGTACTGAATTCAATAATACTATACTTTAATGCTAAAACTACGACATAACCTTTTAAGTGCCATCGCTGTATATAAACGTCTCTTTCAGCCAAAGCGTTAATTTCCCCTGACGTATATATACGTCTTTCCAAAGTACGATCTTTTCTGTGCATTGCTGTTCATAAAATTATTCTGAAGGTTTTCTAATGCAAGAAAAGGACCTTGACATTGATTGTCGAAGGTTTACTTATTTCAGATTATTTGCTTCTTTATCCCCCTAATATATCACAAATGGTTGGCATTGGGAAGCGAATCGCGTAACTTTAAAAAAAATATAAACAGTAATTAAAATACGGTTTATAAATAATTTATAAACCGTACAAATTATCAAGATAAATATGTTAGTTTTTTTATATTATTTTATATATGATAATCCCATTGAGTCACCGGTAATTATTAAACTGGTTCTTAACTTAGTATTGTTAAATTAATTATAAAATATATTGCGTAGCACAGATACATTTTTGTATCAGTGTAAATGTGTGTTTTTTTATGTCAGAATGTATTTTGTTAGTTTACTTTCAGTAAATGAATCATTTTTAAAAAATAATCTTTTGTTTTCGACTTTTCAATATTCTCGCACTCCCCTTTTAAGTTGTTCCCAAGGGGCGCGCCTCCACAGTTAATAAAACGCTGGGTCGAACTTTAAAGAATGGTAGTATGGAACTGTGTATGGCAGAGATAGGACGTGTCATTCCCCTGTCCATAGGTCTCAATGGTCGGTACTCATTTCCAAACCCAGGGCACCTTAATAAGAATAATTCCTCCCCGTTAAGCGGGATAAACAAGTGGAACCCGGACCCATTGCTACAGATACAGAGCTACTGGTGCCTGGGTCCCATCAGTAGGACGTTTCAGGGCTGCAGGGTGTGATCAGTCGATCATTCTGTCCTTAGGATTTATGTGTTTGCTACATTTTGACGTTCTGTACGGACGTGTGGTTCACAGCATATTCCTGCAGAAACTTATTATCGAAGGATCTCATTTAGACCAACATATGCCAGACCAGATTCTTCTTTTGGTAAGACTCTGTTCAGATTCTGACATCTGTTCATAGTGTTCGTCAATCTGTCTGCCAAATTCACTCTAAGAAGAATTTTTGTTTTCATAGGAAAAGCATTTTGCTGACACAAATAAACCACTACGTCACATGACCTCCAATTTTCATGTTTTAAACTTTGACAGTATGGTACTATATAACAATTTATAGAATTAAAAATGACAGAATTCCTCGTTATCAGTTGCGCAATGTGGCATTGTGTCAATTTGAGTCTAGTCGGTATCAATATTATGTTTGGTTATAAACAACTAGTCCTTGTTGTTTTTTTATAAATAAAAACAATCTGCCTAACAAACAATAAAATCAATAACAAATTAAATTAATTTTGCTATACTGCACCATCTTTTAGTCTTTAATGAAAATGCATGAAGGTACATATTATTTCTATTTCTTGGTTTATGTGTAAATAGAAATTCTTCCCGCGTTCGTTAATCCATATATGAAAGCGAAATAAAAATTGCTCTAGTTCTTAATCACTTCGACAGCTCCCATACTAACCAGTTGTTTGTTTGCCAGCCTCTTCTAGATGATTATAAATCACCTAATAATTAATAAGGTGAAATAAATCAGCAGTATCTGAGCATGCTTCTAGCACTTTAATTTTTAACCAGCGTTTACTCATGTTAGAATATCATTAGTGAAAATACTGAGGAAAAGTAACTTTTCAAGATGTAGGATTCTTAATTTCTAGACTGGACATTCATCAGGGTATTCATGTGATTCTGTGTCGATAAATTCACTCTTGGTTTGTTGCTGTTACAACAAAAAATCAATCCGTACCAAATAATTATTGCTATTATGTCAAAAAATAATTATTATATTTATGTATTATATTAGGTTTTAAAAATTTAAAATCTCTACATCAGAAGTAGAAATATTAACTTTTAATTATTTTCTTTTGTATAGTTTATACTGAAAACTTTTGCTTGGTATTTTCTTAACTAAATTCATTTCATTAACTATCTTTAACAGGTTACATTGTTCTCTTATTGTTTTCCATAAAAGCGATTTTAGATGAAATTAATTACTGGTACAATTCTCTCATTAGTTCACTCTCCTAAAATACCATATATTTATTTATTTATATCCTCTTCAGAGCACAATCGTTAATAAAATACTTTTGTTATGTGAGATTCAATAGATTTCTTTCAGCTTATTTAGTTCTTTTGCATGAGTAGTAGTTTCTTTAAATATTAATTCATTAAATAAGTTTGTATTTAAAGTTTAAATTTATTTTCCGTTATTTCTGGTGAAGTTAGGCCTATCTACCAGCAGATGATTTCATAAGTTTTCTTAGAACATTTATTTAGTTCAAATAATATACATATTCAAACTAATAGTGGATGACCTTGATGTTAGCCCAGTTTTCTAAATATTAATAATTAAATTTGATTCTTCATCAAAATTTCTTTGTTGACCAGAAATCTGGAATATTTAATTTTTATATGCGCAGTTTTTATCAACTTCTATTCATTTGAACTGCTTCCAATTACGATTTGGAAAGTCTTGAGAATGAAGAGAAAATGTTTGGAAAAACGTTAATTTTCAAAAGAATAACTAAAACCGAATATAAAGTTACTTTGATGCATTGCGTTCAAATTTATAATTCTTTGACCATTTATTTTCAGTCTGTATTACCAATATAATTTAACATCATAATTACAAATGCATTTATTATTGCGTTAGAAATGGAAAAAGTTCTTTAATTTTCAAACATGTTTTTAGAAATGTTACCAATCTGCCCCTCCTAATCAGGCAGTAACTTGCAAAAAAAAACTTATAGCTCTAATAATAAAAGATGCAAATTTTAATTCGTTTGATTTCGACACATCAGAGTATTTTGATAAAATTATGATGTGTGTGTGACCACACTTATCAACTATATTATACATAAAATGGATTGTTTCGTATCTCATGCTCACTGAGTAGTAAGAGAAACTTCTTTAACTGAGTGAAAAGTTGCTATGTCTTTCGGATATCATTTTGCAATTTAAAATTAATTAAAAAAAGCATGTTTTTAGCAAACATTTTAGTTAGTGTAAAGTAATTACAAAAAAAGTATTTTATTTTAAAAGTAATTTAAATTTATTTTTTTTAAAACAATTCTTTAAAAAAATTTCACTGAAAAACTTCACGTATATAAAATTAGTAACAAACATTCATAAAATTTTTACTATATGTGCATTAGATACTCATATGATAAATGTACCTAAATTCGAAAAGTCTGAACATAAATTGTAATATTTTGAATCTCGTGTACCTTTAAGATAATTAATAATTTATTTAATTAATATATTTAAATTTTATTATGAGATAATTAATTTAACTCATAAAAAAGAGTTTTATTATGAGTGATAGTTTACTTTATAACAAGTAATATAAAAAAAATTTCCAGTTAATTCCTACTTAGACGAAAAAAGAAAAGTTTTTGAATTATTTTTATTAAATAGCTACAATTAATATATATATTTGTATAAACATGTGACAGAATCAAAATATTAAGTGACAAAATAGAAAGCAATCCTTGCAATCTTCCGTTTTCCTTTCTATATATGGTGATGGACTATTTTTTTACTATTTATTCTTTAATTAAAAAATTAATTTTTCTATTTAAATAGCACAGTAAAAAATAAATCACATTCTCAGAAATTAAATCATTCCAGGTGGGATTCGAACCCACTACCTTTGGATTAGAAGTCCAACTCCTTTTGCATTTCTCTACAGGAACGCAACGTGCGTTTTTTTTTTGAAAATATGGTGTTGGTCTATTATTTTTGTTTGTTATTATTTATTCATAATTTAAATTTAATTAATTAATTGGTATTTGAAAATAATTATTACATCAAGTGTCATTTGCTACAAATTTTTAAAAAAAATGTATTTGAACTTGAATGGATGCATAGAATTTGTTTTGTCAACGATTGAAATAACGATTGAATCAAGGATTGAATCTCCTTATACACATATTATATATACATATATATAAGGAGAGAGTGAAATAGTAGTAGGAATTGATAAAGGCTCATTAAATCATACTTATTTGAATAATAATGATAAAAATAAATTTTGATTAACATTCTAATTTAAAAATTTATAATTTATCTTTAGCAAAATTTAAATACTGCCAGTTTATTAGACAGAGCATTCTTCCTAATATATATTTAGCATTTGTGTTGCTTGAAAACCTTTTATTTTTGTGGACTGCTAAATCAATAGTAATTATACAGCAATAAATTACAACAGCGGTTTTCAAACTGTGATACGCACCCCCTAGGGTGAGTTAGTTATATGTGTGCAAAAGGTCACGAGAATTTTGAAAAGTCGAAAATAAAATATTTAATTTTTTAAATTTACTGAAAGCAAACAAACAAAATACATTCTGTCATTGATGTCGTTTCTTGAGTTCGAATAAGTAAGAGATGGAGATAATACTAATGATTATATTACAGAAAATATATATAGCTTAAATTTAAGTAGGAATGCGGGTAAATAAAATTACACCTTTGAAGTTGCTGCGGATTGGTGAGGACAAAGACTTTGCGTCTGTCCGGTGCGCTTCCTGTTTACATAATGTCCCGGTGCGGGGGTCTAAAGTTATAGTTGGGGTGAGAAGGCGGGAAAGTACTGCGCGCTCAGTCACTGTTAAGTGAGAAGTGTAGGAAACCGACATAATAAGAAATAAAATGCACATTTACACTGACATAACACATTTATAAATGTATCAATACTACACAATGTACTTTACAATTAAGTTAGCAGAAAAAGTTTAATAATTACCATTGACTACACGGGCTTGCCGTTTTATAAAATTATATACAAAAGTTATCCTTTATCTTGATAATTTGTACTGTTTATAATTAACTCCTTTACTGCCAATTTAAAGTTACGCACTACCCAATGCCACCGTTTTCCACGTAGGCACGTAGACACGTGTATGTCATGTATTGGGAGGGTAGAAAGGAATAAACAAGAAAATTTTCTGAAATAAGTAAATGTTTCTCTGACACTGTCAATGTCCTTTAATTGCTTTTCAAAACCTTCGGAATTATTTTTAGATAGTTGTGCACAGAAAAGGTCGTACTTCGGAAAGGCGTATATATACGTCCGGAGCAATTAACGCTTTGACAGAGTGAGACGTTTATATACGCCGGTGATACTTAAGAGAGTCGTATTGTAGCTTTTCTGCAAATTATAGTATCACTGCATCTAATGCATTGGTATTTTACGGAGAAGGTGTGATGAAAATTATGATCGAATATTGAGTTGCAAACACTGAAAGTTTGGGAAGCACTAAATTTCAATAATTAGATTACTAGCAATTATATTAAAACTGCCTTTTATTAAATTAAAAATATATTTCATTTCTTCAAATACACTGAAATTTGAGAAATGTCATTATTCAGCAATAAATTAGCATTTAATAAGTATATTGAAATATATTTACCATCAAATTGTTAAAACAAATGGATTCAGTTTAAAATCGATGCAAAACATTTCATTTGCTCTAAGGCAATCACTTACTTCAATTTCCGAATCTAATGCATAATCGATTTACCTGAGGAATGACACATTGCTAAAAATGACAGGTAAAATAATTACACTTTCATTATGAAGAATTTAAACCCTTACTTGTTTCATTTAACCATTCAAAAGGCAATTCATTTCTTCTTCTCGAGAAATGCTGAGTTATGTCACCACTTTAATTTTGAAGGAACATTATTCACGAATGAATTATAGATATAAAATGACATATCGATTTGTTCTTCAGGAATTAGGGAAGCAAATCGTGGTTTGGAATGCGATAAATCGATGGATGTCATATATTTTTTCTAAAGGTTTTTATAGAAGAAGTCCCATATTAAAAGCTCGTTAACTTCAATCTATTTCTAAGCAATTTTTAATACTATTTTTTTCATGTAAAATTTTTAAAAATCACCTTGCGTTTTTTTTGGAATTTTTTTTTTGTCACTAACACCCAACAATTAAAATATTTATAAAAAATATTGCACTTAATGAACATTAAATTCATTGAACATATAAAATTAGCAATAAAGCTATGCACATGTGTATTACCGTATAATGTTTATAAATATATAAAAACACTAAAAAATTAGTTTTTATGAACTACAGAAATATCAGAATGTATAATTATTGGATACACAGTATATATTGTTACAATCTCAGCATAATAATATACGGCAGAAATTTGATGTTGTTTCTTGCAATACAGCTGCGAAAAAAGTTTTTTCTTAATTTAAACAGTAATTATGTTAGAATTCTTACAATTTCCTATTACGAACTGGCAGTGAAAGAAATCATTCCTTTTAATGTTATATCAACAGAATACTCCTATGAAAAATAAGGGAAAGTAATAGTAAAGCTTAGAAATTTTACTGTATAATGTAGATTTAACATAAAATTCAAAAATGTTGCAAAATGTTTTATTTAAATTTATCCAATGAAATGCTAATGCATGTATATTTAAAATGGAAAGATCAGAAGCTAAGCTAATTCTTAGCTAAGTAATTATCAGAGCTTTTAGTGTGTTAAAATGTTAGGGGATTTGCTCGAAAAGTACCAATATGAGCATAATGAATAAAAATATGATACTGCATATTTTGATTTAAAAATAAAGATAAATAAAGTATTTAAAATAGATGCTTCAGGTCTCTCACTCTTTTTCAGTTCTATATTTTAACCTGAACTTTAGCGGGCAACATCATTGTGTTTATATACAGTAGAACGACGTTGAAAACTGGAAACTGTTTAATAAAAGTTGTTCCAATAAGTCATCATGGCTTGTACAAAGGGAAAGCTGTTTGAACTAAAATGCGGTATTTTATCTCTATATATTGTTGTGTTATATATCAATTATTTATTTCTAACAATGGCGTCATACAGGGAGGGTTGTCTTAAGGCTTCTTGAGGCTCTGTGCCCATTTGCAAAAGTAAGCCCTGCCTATGATCCTTCAAAGTAGATAGTATATAACATACGTTGTCAAATATTCGTAAAAACAATAACCCTATACAAATAAATGTGCATGATTTACAATCGCACAAACCGGCTTGAACGACTGTCACCATCAGAATGAATGAATAATGATGGTTAATGATGGTACGCCAAGGGTATACATGGATGACAGTCATCACATGTAGCCAGTTGACGTATTGTTCAAAATTCCCAGTTTTTCGGAGAATACAACAGGAAAAAAAATTGACCGTTAAACTTTTTCGGATCATAATCTTTTTTAAAAGCCAAGTCGAAAATTGGACGAGGCTGAGACCCTGGGTGGCCCGGTTGACCCATGCCTTAAGACGTCCCTGCATACAGAAGACATCAACGTGAGATAAGTAATACTTTTACATTTTAAGTCAACGTTAGATTTTGGTTTGTATGAAATATTCATTCTATTCGTGTAAAATTTTAACAGTAATGCAAATTTACTCAAGAGTTCTTCACAGTAGAAACAAGGGAGAGCAAAGACGAAACGAATTATAAGTATTTATTTTATTTGTAAGCAAAATGAAACTTAAAAAAATAAGACTAGTGCACTAAGTTGATCACGTCCTGAATTGCCTGAAGTAAAGGAATTTGAGATCTAGTATTATTAAATCAAGTTTCAGCTCCAGACTATTCTAGAAAATTTTGTGTAAAAATGGAGATATATATATATGTTGCTAATTATAAATATCACCTTTATACCATTGAGAATGCTTCAATTAGAAAATACAGTAATTTTAAATTTCCAAAATTATTTAATACACTGGACATTTTTCCAAGTACACAATTCTAAATACTTTCATTTAATGATTCTTGTGTATCTTTAATAAGTATATGTCAAATATGCAAACATTTTTTGCACCATAAAGTTTACTATTATAAGAAACTGCAAACATGTTCAAATATGATGCAAAGTGATAATAAGTTATAATATTTGGTGTTCTATTTGAATAAAGTATTTACTCAAACTAGAAACTTTTCAGGAAATACATGGCACCTAATTATAATAATTAAGGCGAAAATTTATAAGCTTATATTTTCTTATTAAAATTCCTCATATGGACTTTATTAATATTTGCGTATTCACTGGTACCAAAGTTTTGGACAGTACCGATTTAATTCAATGTTGGATTCAATGCCTATCTAGAATGGCTTTAGTTCGCAATTTAACAAAAATACAATTACTGTGAAATACGTTTAACGCAAAAAGGATTAAGATAAAATCTCGGTGGACACAACTGTCCCGACTAACTACTATGTATTTTCATGCTTTTTTAACACGAAACAAAAATCGCTTAGCACGAAATGATTTCGCTTTTGAGAATAAACAAAATATGGAAAACACCAGCCATGTAGAACAGATTTAAGAGAGATATGAAAGGAAAGAGAGGTGGTCTTACATATTTCGAAGAGAGGAAGCTAAATTGGTTTTGAAATACCCTCATAATAGCATGTGATAATAGACAAATTTGTTCATCTAAGGTACTTTCTCCCTCCCCCCTACAAACACCACACACAATCATTTCATTTGATATCAGTTGTTGCTAAACTCCAAAGCCAAGTACATCACAATGTGAGTAAAAATCAATGAGTTTCGCCTTTTTTTAATCTTATTTAGAAGAATTTTTCTACAACCACAATAGAAAATACTGTTGTTTTGCTGTTAATGAAAACTAAGCTCCTTAAGGCTCAAAAACAGAAGACGAAAACATTAATCTTAAGACTTT